GTGCTCTCTCCCTCTCTGACAAATAAATAAGATCTTTAAAAAAAATTCTAAGTCAGCCATGTAGCTATGCAGGGAGCCCTCTAAATGAGCTAATACTGTGAAAAGATATATACTCCCCATCACCCACACAACATAACCCCTACTTTTGGAGTTTACAAGTCCTTAACTTAACCAACCCCTGCCTCCTTCTGTAACTTGCCGTTTTGCACTTTGCTTACTTTGCTGCAGCGTCATGAGCCTCCTCATTGTTCCTCACTCACACTAAGCTCGCTGCTGCCTCAGGGACTTTGCACTTGGTATTTTCTCCGCCTGGTACTCTTTCTCCAGATCCCCACTGGCTTCAGGTCTTTGCTAGAATGTCATCTCCACAGAGAGATCTTCCCCACCACCTGTCTAAAATAGCACCCCCTCAATCGTTCACTAGAGTGTAAATCCCATGAAGCTAGGAACTGCGTATTTCTTTCACTTCAGGGCCTGGGGTCAAGGCCTGGGTGCTTGTTAAGTATTTGTTGAATGAATGAATAAATAAATAAATAAATGTAAAAGTTAGAAGGAGTGAACACATCTAATAATGCATTTTTTTAAAAAAGCAATGATGTGGATTGCAAAGAAAAATCTCAGGGAGGCTAAAGCTGAAAATGGATTGAAGCTTTCAAAAACTGCTGAAGACAGATAAGTAAAAAGCCTTTTAGTCAGTGCAAGGAAAAAAAGGGCAACTTTCTGAAAGAAAATAAATCCTCTTTTGTTGGCATATTCCTTCAAGAGGATTGATTTTCAAGCTCAAAAAGGCTGGAGGGAAGAGAGGCGAGATGGCAGGAAATCCAGGCGAGTGGTGAGGTTGTTGGATCCCAGGGGCTCCAAGGAGTGAATAGTTGCAAGGAAGTCTAGACAGGGGCAGACACAGCATCGTAGAGATCCCAGGTCCCATGATGGCAAGGAAGGAAGGACATTACACCAATGCAAATTTGGGTTGAGGTGGTAGCTTCAGAAATGAAAAAGGAGGGGGTGGATCAGAGTGACTACTGTAGGGTAATCTTGGTAACATTACTAGATGTTCAGGGCAAAGAGGATAAGAGAAACGAAAATCACAAGCCTCTAAATGGTAGCAATCAGAAAGCAAAAGGAGAAAGGCAGTGGTTACCGGGAGGCTTAGAAGAGAAGACTGGGGGTGAGCAGGGAAAAGCTAGAGAAGACAAGTTCTGGTGGTGATGGAGCCTCTGTGAGAGTTTTAGCGGCCCCTGGTGGACATTTGGGTCACTAAATGCGACCACTATGTCACCGCATGGCCCACTAGAATAGTGTTACTGCTTCACAGCTGTGATCAATACAGACTGACTGCTTTTGCTACAGCTAAAGATGTGTGATGCTCCAGTGACCTCTAGAATATAAGGTGTTGAGCTGAGCAGATCTTGAGATATGGAGTGGAGGAGGGAGCCACATGTTACAAAACACTTACCACCATGGCCATGAGGGCTCAAAAAAAAGGGTAGTACCTGGACTGTGGAGGAACTTGGCTTCATGAGGGAGCAAGAAGTTCTAGTCAAAGGGACATTTCAGCGTGTAGTGGGATGACTGTGCAGATGTGCCTGGGTTGTAATTGTTGGTAAAATGCTGCTTTGAGTGTATTACTCCCTTTGAGCGTGCTGCCAAAACTCTCAGTATTTGAAAGTGTGACAAAAACAAGCATTTAAAAACTGATAGAAGGGGCACCTGAGTGGCTTAATGGGTTAAGCATCTGCCTTTGGCTCAGGTCATGATCCCAGGGTTCTGGGATCGAGCCCCGCATCAAGCCCCGAGTGGGGGCTCCTTGTTCAGTGGGAAGCCTGCTTCTCCCTCTGCCTGTTACTCCCCCTGCTTGTGCGCTCTCTCACTCTCTCTCTCTCTGACAAATAAATCTTAAAAAATAAAATAAAATCTGATAGAAGGTGAACAGAACCCAAGAGACACCCCAGGGCGGTCAATGTACATTTCTGCCCTTTAATGCCCTCTCAACATCCTGGGTCCAGCATCAATTCCATGTCTGAAAGACAGGGATTGAGCTACCTCCTTTCTTTAAACAACTTTCTGAGATAGATTTTACTTATATCAAGGCTAAGTATGGCTATCGATTAAAGCAGCTCTTCCTAGCAGCTGGAACACTTTGGAGCAAAGAAAAGACAATTCCACTGGAGAGTTCTTTCAAGGAAGTTCACTATATCCCTGAGTTACTAAGGAGGCCCACAAGGCCCAAGAGGAACCAACTTCTCCTTTTCCATCCTTCCCCTAAAGCCCCCATTCCCATCATTTCCCTGGATCTCTCTGCTGCATCCTCATAAGAAGTGACCACAGCTCCCTCCCCATCCCCACCCCTCCACCCCCTCCACCTCTCTGTCCCAGCTCCATGTGAAGGCACTTCTGTTTCCTTTTTATCCACTTCCCTGCCACCTCCCTATGACTCTGTGTGGTCCATGGCACATCAGCCAACTTCAGCTGCCTCTCCTTCCCAATATCCAGCTCGACATGGAATGCTGTCTCTTGCTCTCCCACCTACCACACCCCTACACTTCTCTACTCCACCCGCATATGAACTAACCTCTGCTCTCATTCCCCTCAACTCCACATGAAGGAATCTCTTCCTCCCTTCCCCCTCAAGCTCATGAACCAATCTCTGTGCTATGTCAAATCCCACCCCACTCCCCTACAGCTCCCTGGTCCAGCCCCACGTGAACCCACCTCTGCTCCCCCCACCTCCCCATCACCCCCGCTCCAAGCACCTACAGCGCTGGGCCATCTATATAGAAACGAACCCTTGCTCCCTTCTCCCTTTCTCTCCCCTTTCTCTCCCCCCCCCCCAAATCACTCTTTCCTGCCCTAGTGGACTGGCCTTGGGCCCTCTACTTCCCAACCCCTTCTCACCCTCCAGGATCTAATTCTTCCCCAGTTGAACTCACCTCTCCTACCTCCCTCACTCCATCCTACCCTACCCTCCATACATCTCTCTAGTAGACTCCTGTTCCCTCTTTCTCCCTTCCTCTCGTCCTCCATTCCCCTCCAGCTCTGTAGATCCCCGTGAACTGAGTCGGCAGAGTAGTCTGTCTCTCCCTCCCTATCCACCCTCCCTCCACCCTCCACATCTTACCTAACTACTCCTACATTTCCCTGGTCCAGCCTCACAGAAACTTCGTCTACTTCTCTGTCCCCACGCCCTGCCATCTCCCTTACACCTCTTGGTCCATCCCCACCTGAGCTGACTCTGCCCCCTCCCTCCGCATTACCCTCCACCCGCTCTACAACTCTCTACATCATCTGCACCTGCACTGACCTCTCCTACCATTTCTTCCCCATCCCCTCCATTCCCTTCAACTATCTGGTCCAGCCCTTCATAAACTGACCCCAGCCCTCTCTCCATCCACATTCCCCCACCCCTTGCAGCTCTCTTTTCTGCCTCCACATGAAGCAGTCCCAGCTGCTTCTCTGTCCCCATATTCTTGCCCCCCATGTGACTCTCTTCCAGTCCCACACCCATTGATCTGTGCTGCTCCCTCTGTCCCCATCCCTTCCACTGAGCAACGGCAAACCTATTTTAAAATGGCTGGCAGGCACCAATATAAGTACCTTATGCTTGTTTTTATCCTTAACGATAACATGTTACTTATCACTCTCCCTTCCCCCAATATTCCTGACTCTATTTCATTTATAAGAACATTAAGAAGGAGGAGATAAGAATGTTTCCAGGGTGACGGTTAACAGTAAAATAGGAAGTAGGGCCCAGGCTTCTCATTCCTTTCCAATATTGTATGTCTTTTATCAGATCATATGCCTCTTATTAGAAAGCAGCAGTATGACAAAGGTCAAACCCTCCCGGTAAATGCTATCAACTCAGCTTTGGGGGACAGTAAACATAAAAACTTCACAGACCCACATCTAACAACAAAGCTGTGACAATCACACCAGGGAAATGAGATTGAGAACAAACACTTCTGAAATGCCTTCTTGGCCCTTTGTGTGACTCTGCCTTGGGTCCTCAGTGACTCTGACTTAAGCACAACTCTTCTCCCCACTATGCAGACAAGGAAACCGAGGCACTTGGAGAAGGAGCTTGTCCCCAATTACCCAGCCAGAAAGTGGTGGAGCCCATGAGAGAACCCAGGTCTGAGGCTACTCTGGCCTCTCCCTACCACACCCCAGTGTTTCTCAGGGAATGATCCCTCTGCAGGAGACTTGTCTGGAGGGTTCCCAAGTCCTTCAGGATGCCAGTGTCCAGGGATGAGGCCCAGGGTCATGCCACTTTACCTGCTTCCCATGTAGGTGTACCACTTGAAATACAGGAAATCCAAATAAAGGTAAATTTCAGATCAACAATGGATAAATAACAAAAAGTCCAAATGGGATATACTTATACTAAAAAAAATTGATCTGAAATTCAAATTGCCTTAGGTGTTCTCTTTGCTATCTAAATCAGGCAACCCTATCCTGGGATTAGGATGTCTCCAGAAGTTTGAAATCTATTCTCTCCATCTCCAGGTCTTCCATTTCCCCTTGGCCCTTCTTGTTCCCTACCCTCAACCTGGGGCAGAGACTTTAATTTTATCTGCCAGGGCTTCTCTTATAGGTCATCCCACGTAGGGCCAAGAGGGGGCTGGCCAAGGTCACTCAGCCCAATCTAACATTGAGTTCTGAGACACTGACCAGAGGTTGGTTAAATTCAACCTACTGTCATAGTAACTTGCCTGCCCCCAATTTGTCCAAGCACAAAATACCAATAGGACTCTCAGCCTTACACTTTGCCCAAATTATTTTTAAGGCAGCATTTAGGTGTAGGTGAAATGGAAATTCTGCTAGTTTTAACCCTGACAGATTCCCAAGGCAAGAAACAATTCAAGTCAATAGTAAAGGATGATTTCATTTTCTGTCCATGGGCTGGGAAGGAGTTGGGGATCTACCAGGCTGCCTTCAACACAGTGGTTTAGAAGATGAACTCATAGTCAAGGCCAAAGAACTCATCCCTAGAGAACAAAAGCTTAAAATAAGAAAGGCTTTATTTTTAAGACAAAACAAATAGCACAAACACACATCCAAATGCACATGAGTAAGTTCACTGGGTTTTATAAAAGAGAAAGCGGCACTCGGGTGTCAGTTATAACTAGAAACATCAAGAAGATGCCCCCTGATTCTGGTGGCATGGATACAACATGTGCTTGTCTAAGAAGTCGTTCTGGGGTGGCATCATTGTGGAAATGCATGACAAGAGTGAGGTGATACAAGGCAGAAATGCAGGTGGGTGAAAGCTTTAAGACCCTTTTCACCACCCTAATGTGCTTTTGTTTTGCTCTGGGGAACTGAAGCAATCAGCAGGTCACCTTAAAGAGAACTTAAATGTCAAAGAACACTTTCAAATACCTAAAAGAGATTCAAGATTGTTACTAAAGTTGTACAGGTAGGTCAGTAGGAGAAAATAGTTTATGTTCTCAAAACCCAGGTTTCACACAATATGAAAAGAAGAGACCGATTTTAGTAAAGGCTGGTCTTTTTCATGATGCGCAGGAACTCCTGCTCATTGACTTCTCCATCTCCATCTCGATCAGCCTCATCGATCATTTCCTG